TCGCCCCAAGACGGCACCAGATGTTCTCAAGAAGGCCCCAGGACGGCCCAAGAAAGCCCCAAGACTGCCCAAGAGGCGCTCGGGACGGCCCAGCAGGGCCCAAAGACGGCCCCCCAAGGGGGCCCAGATGGCATTTCGAATCCTCGGTCCCGAGGGCTCCCCAGGAGGCCCCAAGAGGCTCCAAGAGGCTCCCAAGAGGCCCCAAGATGCCCCCAAGAGGCTCCCAAGAGGCTCCCAAGAGGTTTCAAAACTGTTCCCAAGAGGCTCCTGAGAGCGCCCCGAAGAGACCCGAAAAAGCATCCCTGAGAACTATGACCCACAACCCAGGCACGATGGCGGGAAGGGCCGAAGACCACTCGATACATCTGTATATACACATAACATTACATGTGTATTTGTAGGTATTCATATAGTTGTGTATATATAGACATGTATGTCTGTATGCATGTATGTATACATGTATATTTACATATGCACATCTATATGTATATATGTATGCATGCACATTCAAAAAAACACTTGCCGTAACCGGGAAGAGAAACCTCCGGATGTGCTCGATCGGCCACCTTGTCATGCCCACGCGAATGTACTACTGCCCGACAATGAAATGTGAGATCAAGGTGTCACAACCCACAGCGCTGAATACCTGTGAGCCACTGAATATGACTGGAAACGAACAAGATGGAAGGTCAGATACATCGACAATGCAAGTCCTTACGCCCATTCACAAGCAGCCGCAGCAAATATCGTTGGGCTTATTATCTCTTCCTTCACCGCATAATCAAATGTTCGCAATTGTATCACTTGCGCCGCTGAGAGTGAGCTCTCTGATGTTACATGGCGACGCAAGACCCCAAATAATCACAGTGAGATAAATTGCTCCGGGATCCGCACCTTCATTTGTAATCCTTGCGCTGTGACCTTACAATGTGTCAGTATAACTTACTGTCAGGGGTGTACCCATCGTACGCACCGGCAAGACAAACAAGGGAAACGCATTTTTTGTTTAGAGTTCTAAGGTGCCCTCCGAACCGCATTTTACAGCACATCGCAGCAAGCTGTGACTTTTCATGCTGACCGCAAAATATCCACAACACCTGGCTTGTCTTGTCAAAGTCACGCTGCACGCGAACTGCTATGACATTGGGGCTCCGGACTGCGCAAGCGTTGTCCTGCGGACTGGCGCTCACCAAAGCGGTAATAATGGTGATGGCAACGGGCACGAAGGACGAGTGTCAGTGCCTACCACGATTAGGCATCGAAATGGTGACGAGGGCAAACGCTATGAACAAATCCTGTCTACTACGTTGGCTGGCCACCTGGCCGATTTGTAGGCAGAACGATCTTGGAGATCCGCCGCAATAATTTCGACAGTTTCGTTTGTGAGGTCACGAAGCCGCGCGGCCCACGCCTGTGTAGCACGCGTGCACGTTTATCAAAAGGCTTGGCGCGGTGAAGCAGCCACGACACCCCTCTGGGCCGACATGGTAAACTTTGCCATCCCCAGACGGGGTGCTCTCAGGACGGTGCGATGCTCTCCACGTCTGGGTGCTCAGGGCATGCACATATACTACGTTTCCTCGCTCCGGGAGCCACGTGTCCTTTTGAAATCCGATGGAACCATTTCCATGGCCACCAACTCTCGTAAAACCCATGCCGGGCATAAAGAGGAACGCTGCTGTAGACGGTGCTGCTGCGTGCTGCATGCTGAAGCTGTCGCACGAATATCTCTTCGCGCCTCTTGGGGCCTCTCGTGAAGTCACAAGTGATATTTTTCACAAAGTCTTGGGGCCTGTTGGGTTGACTTGGAACTTTTTGAGCCGGTTTGGGGTCCGCTTAACTTGTCAAAGGGCCTATCTTGGTGGCCTCGTCGGCGTCATCTTGTTGCATTCTGGGGGCACTTTTGCACTGCACCGTCTTGGGCGCCTCTTGATGCTTCAAAAGAAACGATCTGAGAAATCCTCTTCCATCTTCCGCTCCCAGGGAGAGGAGGGACAACCCTCTCCCTCAGGCCGAGCCGTCCAAGATGGCCCCAGCGAGCTGTCAGAGCGTTCAAGATGGCCTCAGCGAGAAAAGCAAGAACATTGATGTATTATAAGTTTCGGGGCCGTTTTTGGCCTCCTGGGGTCGGCGCCCCTCCCTTTCCTTGATCGACGGCCTCTAAGATAACCCCAAGACGGCCCGAAAAGCCTCCAAGAGAGGCCCCTCCCACTCCAATTCTCCTCGTCACGGCGGACCCAAATCCCGTTCGAGGTTGGAGGGTCCACGGTTGGGCCGTCCAGGAAGGCTTGGGGGCCAGCCCAGGCGGCCAAAATCATCGAAAAGCCTTGAGGTTTGCCAATCTTTCACGTACTCGGCTTGTTGATCTTGAGAGTGTCCAAGACGGCCCAAAAGACCGCACCCCCTAGGCTGCGACCATTGGCGAAGAATCCGCCGATCCGGCGTGCAACTCCGATGAAACTACAGCCTGAACTTCAGCACTGCTGGGGGGTTGCCAAGGTGGCCCTGCCGGGGAACATGATGGGGGTGGGAGGGACTGTAATTTTTTCCCTGAGCCGGGGTCGGGGCTGGGACTGGGGCCGGCGGGGCTGGCGGGGCCGGCGGGGCCGGCAGGGCCGGCGGGGACGGGGCCGAGGCCCGAGCTGGGGCCGGGGCTCCCAAGCCCAACGACCCACCAACGAGCCAACCCGTCGAGAACTAGCCCGCCATTCAGCTCGACAAACGGACACGACGCAAAGATTCCATTCAGCACACTGCCTAAATCGACTGCCAAGACCATCCTTCCTCTCCTTCTCCTCCTCCTCCTCCTCCTCCTCCTCCTCCTCCTCCTCCTCCTCCTCCTCCTCCAGCAGAGCTTCCCGGAGCGTCCCGATCAGCGGCACAGGCCGGAGGCCTCTACAATACTACTGAACCGCGTTCCTGAGGCCACGCTCCCTTGAAACAGGGAAAGGGCCCGCGCCCCTGAAGCTGGGTCCGCGCGCTGGCGAAGCTACGACCAGTATTCCCACCAGCCCTTTAGGGCGTAGGTGGTCCAGGGAATTTCCTCATCCAACCCTCTTCTTCCCCTTCGGCGAAGGGTTAACCCCTCCGGATACCCCCTCCCCTGGACCTGGACGGGGCGCCCCGCGACGCGTTGGAGCGCCCAAGACGGCCCCAAGAGGGCCTCAGAGAGCCCAAGATGACCTCCCAAATGGCTCAATACAGCCCAAGATCGCTCAAAATGGCTTCCAGGATGCTCCGAGAGACCGCCCCAAGAGGCCTCCGAGACTCCCAAGGAGGCCCCCAAGAAGCTTCGAAAACTGCAAGAAAACCAATGATTTTTGCTTTATCGCCTTTTTGCTTCCGATGGCCTTCCGAGGCCTCAAGATGGCTCCAAGATGGGCCCAAGAGAGCCCCAAGAGCGCCCAAGAGTGCTCCAAGAGCGGCCCAAGAGGCGATTTTAGGAGCTTTAGAGGGGCGACGCAAATTAAGTACTCCCCCTTTTTGGATCGATGTCTTCCAAGATGGCCCCAAGAGGCGCCCAGGAGGCCCCGAGAGGCCCCAAGATGGCCCCAAGAGGCCCCCAAGAGGCCCCCAAGATGCCCCCAAGAGGTCCCCAAGAGGACCCCAAGCGGCTCCAAGAGGCCTCCCCGAGGCACCCAAGATGCCCAAGAGCCCTCTGGACCGCCAAGGGACCCGCAAGACTCCCCAAGAAGCCTCAACGAGGCGCCCAAGAGATATCCCAAGAGACTCCGAGAGACGTCCAAGAGGCCTCTTGCCTTTTTGCTCGCGCTCCTCCTCCTTCCTCCTCCTCCTTCTTTCCCTCCTCATCCTATTCATCATCCTTCTCCCTCCTCCCTCATCCATCCATCCATCCATTCTCCTCCTCCTTCGAATGGTTCGGCTGTCCCCCTCTTTGCTCCTACATGTCCCTGATCACCTCAACTCGCCTGGGCGTTGTTTCTGGATGGGCTGGTGGGGATACTTTTCCGTCGCGGCCGCAAGCGGAAGCGCAGGCGCGCACACCCAGACATACTTCCAACCAGCCAGTAAGCCTGCGAAACAGCCCTTCAGCCACCAAACTTGCCAACAAACCTGCCGACCGTTCAGCCGAACAGCCAGCCAACCGGCCGAGTTGCCAGCCTGGCTACCGATCAGCCACTCAACCGATCAGCCGCGTCGACCCAGCCATGTAGGCAATCACAGGTTGGGGGGAGCGGCGGCAAAGGGCGAAACCCTGGAGTTAATTTGCCTCCTTCAATTATTGTGTTATTGTGCGATTGTCGCATCTTCGCTTTGTCGGTTTTCAAAGAATCCAAGATGCTCCGTGGAGCTTCCAGAAACGCCCCCAAGACGGCCCGCGAAGCGCCCAAGATGGCGCCGTCGAGGGCCCATGATGGCCGCGATCTATCTCAGGAAGGCCCCGCGACGACCTAAGAAGGCACCCGAAGAAGCTCAACGCGAACCAAGGTAATCCCAAGACAACCCAAACAAACAGCTCATTAAGCCCCCAGACGCACCCATTGGGCCGGAATGCACATCGCAACGGCCTCCATACTCCATAAACCACGGCCACCAAGGTGGCCCCAGGGCGCCATATCGCCCAATATATTCACATGGGGCAGCAGGAAATACGCAAGAGAAAGATGAGACGGCATTGCGAGTACGGAAGCGCTGAACAATAAGTGCCGTTCGCCGCACCCTGCGTGCCTGTTTCCTCGTTCTGGCGGCCGCTTTGTCGGCCACCTGTAGGTGGACCAGGCGCTTGCGTTGTCTGTTGGGAATATATTAGCAAGCGGGCTGTCGACCTGACATTTTGCAATGCCTGGCCGCCGCCAACACGTTCCAGAAAAACTGTGATGTCGGCAGTTGGAGCTCTTCGGCCATAGGCGCATGCAGATGATGACGAGGAGGATGATCATATCAAGCAATGTTTCTTCAGCTGGGTGCGACAGAAACGATCGGCGAACAAGAGCAAGTATGATATGATCTTACGATGCAGATGCGGCAGATGATTTTAAGATCTGCTGTCGGACCGCCCCCTGCCATGCAAAGCCCAATCGCGCGTTCCTCCAACTGCTGCAATTACTAAAGATTATCCGCCGGACTCTTCGTCGTTGTCGCCAGTCCTCCTCCGCATCACCCTTGGAGGAGAAAGCTGACTGCACGCCGGCATCGAACCTGGCCAGGCCGCCCCTGGGCCCGGCAGCGGCGCCTTCGGCCCCAGCGGCCAGGCCAAGAGGGTGAACGCACCGATCCCAGGCCCAAGCGCGGCCTGGCCAGGATCGGAGCACCGCAGGTTCCCTCACGGCGTGGGCCCTGGTCTCTGTCGCCCCGCGACGCGCTGCACCCTGAACGACCCCCGCCGTCGGGGGGCCCCAGAGACTGCCGACCGCACCCTATCCTGGAGTTGAGTCGGTCCTGTCCCTCTGCAGGAGAAATATTCAAAAACAATAAACAATAGCCAAGGGACGATCTTTCGATTACTTCTTCATTATTTATGATTCTTTTTGGGGTGTTTTGCTTTTCGTCCAAGATCCACCTGTGGGGGGACATGCCCGACCTAATCCCTGGAGAACCGTGCCGGCGCTGCCGCAGCGCCGAGCCGGCCAGAACCTGCCGCACGCTTGGCGTCCCCGGAGGGGGGTCTGGAGGGAAGTCCCCGGATGCCTCCGGAGGCTCTGGGAAGATACAGAGACCACCGAAAGGAGGAGGAGGAGGAGGAGGAGGAGGAGGAGGAGGAGGAGGAGGAGGAGGAGGAGGAGGAGGAGGAGCACGCAGACCCTCCAGCCTCGATCCTTCCTGCCCTATTCCTTCGTCCTGCCCCCTCCTCGGGGCCGCGACTTCCCTGCTCACGCCTCGGCCCGCGGCGGCCGGTCAGCGGCGCCGGGAGTCCGACCTCCCGCGGCGACGCGAGGGGCTCCTGCGAGGGTGTCGGTGAGATAGATCTGACCCCCCCCCCCCCCCACATAGTTCGGCGACTTGGCAGGTCGAGTCCAGGCGGGCCAGGGGGACGGACGCTGTGAAACCCAGGTCGGCCTCGGGGGCGCGAAGATGATCGCGCTCCGCGCATCGCGGCTTGCGTTGGAGGGGCGCCCCAGTCCAGGGGGGAGGCGCGATGGGGTGAAGATAACGAGCATCGCGGGGCGCGATGCGCGAAGTTCGGTGACCTAGGACACCCGACTCGGGGGCACACCGTATGGACAGGGGCTGCCTGCCACCTCCACCTTACGTCTTCGATTCTGTACCCCGTTCGGCGGTCTCTGGTGATCTCTGGCAGTCATCGGCGCTATCCAGTTATGTTCTGCGCGAAAGCTGTGCTGCTGAGTTTTAACGAGGGGTCAACGATCGAACACATAATCGACTTGGACTGGGGAGGGATGCAATCAAGGCGGCGATTGGGAACATTGTCGCCTGAGAAACCTGGGCCAACTTTCCAGCAGAAGCGTGAGCGGACGCTGGTCCAGGCTCGCACGCACAGACCTGTGCACGTCCCTACAATGCGAAACATAACTCATCATACGAATTGACAGCATGGCACCGCCGATAAGCATGATGTATCCGCATTGTCGAGCAGAACGCCGCATAACGTATCGTGGTCCGTCATGGCACAACATAACACATCATCGCAACACATAATACGGAATATCATGGCGTAACACAGCATGGACTATCCGCTACGGTGCCACGAGGCACGAAGTGGAGTGTCCTCAGGTCCCCCGAAACTTTTCCCCAACCCTGAAGATTAATTCAAGGGTCAAAGCACCAACTGTCAAAGAACTCCGACGGGCTCGGATGAGCATAGCACCGCTCCGCTAGTTTGCCTCAGGACCCGCGCGCCAAAATTGCTTGCACCACTCCCAGAAGCGGAGCGCCTCTGCGCTAAGTGGCCTCAAACCACGTGCTCCACTCCCATTAACAAAATGCCGCCCGGCCAATGGGCCGCGAGCCGTGTAAATCCGCCGACCCTTCGGCGTGTGTGCGACGCTGTCGTCGTCGTCGTCGTCGTCGTCGTCGTCGTCGTCGTCGTCGTTGTCATCGTCGTCGTCGTCGTCGCCAGCCCCAAGGAAATTTTCGAACGAGCAATGGAAACAACCGTCGCCATCAAATCGATTGCCTCTCCTTTTTGTCGTCCCTGACAGGGGGGGGTACGGGGGGGTACGGGGTGGGGGGTATGGGGAGGGGGGGGGGGATGGGTCCCGGGTCAGATTATCGCTCCCGACGGCCCCCTCCCCCTCCCCAATCACCACCGTGGACAGGGAGAACAAAGGGGGGTCCCCCCTGTGGGGGAAGGTCCTGGAAAGGGGTCCCGGGCCAGAATGCTGCCCCCCGCGGGTCTGGGCGGTCACGGTGGGACTTCGCTGGCAGGGGTCCCTGGGGAGGTCCCGCCTGTGGTGGGGGAGGGTGGTCCCAGGCCAGAATACAATAGGGGCCCGACCGCAAGAAATCTTGCACAAGAAACCCTACCCTGAGACCCCAAGACGTCCATTGATTTTTGGTGTGGGAACGTCACGCTTTCCATATCAAAACCTTCGAAACATAAGGAACCCAGTGCACCCTGGAGGCAAGCAGGGTGTTTCTTGGCATGGGTCTCCACTGTACCGCCCCCCGCGAGGTCCATGCGGGTCCGGGGGGGGGGTGCAAGCGGGGTCCCGGGGGAGGTCCCTCCTTCAATGTCGGCGGCACTGGTTGCAAGGCCTTAGCAGCAGGATTACTTTGTATCCATTACCAGAGCGCCGCTCCGCCACTCGGCCTCGGGCCATGAACATACGTTTGCTGTCTCACATTCGCCGAACACCCCTCCACCAAAGGGCCCCGAAGCGTGTGCAACATATTGCTCGCTCCCATTAACCGTGATCCGCTCCACTAATGGGCCTGAAGCCATGTAAGTAGGACTGCTTCGCTCGCATTAACGGAGCGCTGCTCCGTTCATTGGCTTCGAAACATGTAACTGCGGTTTCTTCGTTCCCATTAGCGGAGCGCCGCTTCGTTAACAAGCCTCAAGCCTTTGCTTCGCTTCGATTACCGGAACGCCGTCCCGTTATTGGGAACCAAACCTATGCCATACTACGTTTTCGTTCCCGCGAGCGGAGCACCGCTCCGCTAATTGGCTCAAGCGCCGCCGTGCCTACGTTGTAAGGGTCTTCGAACCCTGGGTCCCGCATGGACTTCGACTTCAGTAAACGCTATGCATCAATTCGTGCTCGCTTGGTACCATATGTTCCGTATCTATTTAACTCAACCCTTCACATACGATATTACGCACATTGTTATCGAGTCTGGAGTGGTACTTCTTCTGTCATTTAAGCTCCAGACGCTATGATCGCTACCGCTATGACTAATGTGGGACTCGACTGGTACCCCTTGGGTCATATCTATCTCCACCGATGCTACCATTACCGATTGGGCTTTTCACTTCTGCGTGCGATATGACTCAATGGTGCCCGAGCGGTTCAGACGCGATGACACACGCGGTAGCTGATCTTTGTAAACTCCAATTTTTGTAAAACGATGTAACCCACATGGGTTAGTACTACAATCGGCATAACGCCAATGATACCCGATGGGTCCCACTTGCGTCATATCGAAAACACAACGGTTGGTGGGACGCACAACACATCCAGTATTCCGCTGGCCCACAACTCAGGCACGGTGGCGGCATGGGCCGAAAGCCACTAGAGAGGCCCCCAAGACGCCCAAGATGGCCTCCAAAACGGCCCTGGAGCACCCCAAGATGGCCCCAAGTCGGCTCAGAAAGGCCCCTCAAACGGTCCTCCGGCGGCGTCAGACGGGCCAGGAGCCCACCGAGACGGCCGACGTTGGCTCGAAGCTGGCCCAAGACGGCCCAAGAGCCCTCCAAGACGTCCTCCAGGAAGGCCAGAAAAGGCCAACAACACTGATTGTCCATAGGTTTTTGACAGATTTTGACAATTGCTTCTTTTCGGCCTTCCGACGGCCCGATACGGCCCACGAGCCCCCACAGATCGCCCAATATGCCTCCAAGATGGCCCCAGAACGGCCCAAGAGGCCCCCAAGACGGCCCAAGAAATTTTTAAGAAGCCCAATGTGGCCTCCAATACGGCCCTGGAGCACCCCAAGATGGCCCCAAGTCGGCTCAGAAAGGCCACCCAAACGGCTTCCAACGGCGTCAGACGGGCCAGGGGCCCACCAAAACTGCCGAAGATGGCACTAAGATGGCCCAACAGGCCTCCAAGAGGGCCTCCAGGAAGGCCCGAAACGGCCAAAATCATAGATTTCCAATGAGTTTTTGAAGGATTGAGGTATTTGTTTTTTTCGGCCTTCCGACGGCCCGAGGCGGCCCAAGTAACCCCAAAGATCGCCCAAAAGGGCCAAGACGGCCCCAAGAGGCCCCCAAGACGGCCCAAGAGGCCTCCAAGATGCTCAAGATGGCTTCCAAGATGGCACAAGTGCCCTCCAAGACATCCTCCAAGAAGGCCCGAAACGGTCAAAATGGCCTCCAGGCGGCCAAGATGACCTTAAAGATGCCCACGTGTTCCCCGAAGGCTTTCCAAGCCGATTCGGGGAACACATGGTCCGATAGCTTTGCAGGTCTGGCCTCAACGTTCGGCCACATAGGCGCTTCCAAAAAGGCAGGGTGCGGCGGTGATTCGCCGTAGGCGTCTTCGATAACAGCACAACGTATAACCACAAGATAATCCACAGCATTGCATACCATAACACGGTGTTGTATATCATGACACCATGATCGGCATTCTAGATCGTAGAAGGCAGTCTCAATAGCTGAGTCTCAGCCTTGCACATGCGTAATAAATTTTGGGCTTATCACAGCGCAGCGTAGCAATCATGGAACAGCTTATCTTGCAGCTTGCGCGAGGGACCAGCGACTGTGTCGCGAGGAGCGGGACGACCAGCAGGGACGATACAAACGCTTGCCATCGTCGACCCCACATGTTCAATTATTGCGACCCAGATGCGTTACCTATGAGATGCAATCTATGTGGTGCAGGCCATGCGGTGCAACCTATGTGATGCAAGCTGTGTGATGCAGTCTAGGCTGTGCAGTCTATGGGGTGGAGGCCGCGGGGTGATAGGTGTTGTGTAATCTATGGTGTGTATGCCATGGAGTTCAAATGTATGCGCTGCAATTAGGTGACAAGTGAAATCGCCAACTCCACTGCTTGCGCAAACATCCCACCCTCCAATCCGCAAATCATTCGGCAAAACCCGTTCGGCCATGATCGTGTTCACCGATTCGCGCTTGCTAGCGCATCTCTACGACCGCGCTGGCGCGCGCACGTCTGCGCGCAGAGAAACCAGCCAGTTTGGCACAACTGATGCGGTCGCGATAGCGCTTACTAGTGGAACCTTTCCAGCGCGTCTCAAAGGCCAGGCTGGGGCGCGGGCACTTCAGTTTGGGTCGGTGGCTCGGGCGGGGGCGATATGATGATGACGTCGGCAACGGCTGCAGCGATGATGATATTCGCGAGGGCGGTCGCGATGATGACAATGACGACGGGTGATGAAGCTGGTGGTGATCACGACGGTGGGAGCAATGATGGCGATGGTGTCAAGGAGGATGATGGGGAAGTGCGCGCGAGCAGAAATCTGACCGGGGCTACGACATCGGCGATGACGACGATGACGGCGGCGGTGATGATGATGACGATGGCGATGGCGATGATGATGCTGATGATGATGACGATTCCGATTATGATAATGACGATAGTGCTGATTATGATGATGCTGTTGATGTTGATGTTGATGTTGATGATGATGATGATGATGATGATGATGATGATGATTTCTATCCGTCGGGGCTCAGGGGGAGGGGGAGATCGGAGTGTCAGCAACAGAGCCCTCTGCCCGCCTGAAGGCGGAAGTGTGCCACTGTGCACTAAGCGCGATGATGATGATGATGATGATGATGATGATGATGATGATGATGATGATGATGATGATGATGCTGATGATGATGATGATGTTGATGGTGATGACGATAACACTGAAGACGCTGACAAAGATGACAAGTACTTGGTTGATGAAGATGTTGAGGAAGTGCGCGCCCGCAGAAATCAACCGTTTCTGGCACATTGCTTTTGGGAACCCTTGTGTTGGTGTATTTACTTGAGCACCCCTATGCTGAAATGGACCGAACATCAAGGGCGTTAGATGGACTTCGACGTGCGCGCGCGGAGACGCGCATGTGTGGCCCGCATGGCATTGTTTAACAGAGTCGGCAGGCGCGCGATGGTCGTTGAACGTTTGCGACATGTTCGCGCGTGCGCCCTGCAAAGCCTCATTTGACAGAACTGCTAACAACTAGGGTTTCCCCATGCCTTCAGCAAGTCCGCACCCGCGCAAATTTGTGGCAACGTTGCTTGAAATAAACCAGCAGTTCTGATATTATCTGAAACTGTCGGGAGATCGAAGGTTTTGAAATGATTTTGATATGCGCGTTCGGCGGCGCGCGCAGGTGCCCCGCACCGTTTTTTGCTTGCAAGGCATTCGCAACGAACACGCCTCTTAGATCAACGCGTGCGCATCGCATACATCGGACAAGGAGGGGGGATACACTGGCCGGCATGTTATCAAGGAAACAGTTAGGCGAGCGATGACGCAACAATCATAATATATGTGGAGGGGTACGGTTCACCGTGGCCTCGGTGGGAGGATTAGAGTCTGGTGCCTTAGGTGGAGCCCCCTATGGGTCCACGAAACGTGTGAGAGGTGTGCTGATTTCTGTGTAGGAAAAGGAAGATCTGTGATGGAAGCTCTCGGGTGTAATCATTGTGTAGCAAGCAATGCTAGTAGTAGTGCTGGTGGTCGCAATGCCACCCAGCGTACGCGGTGGCGATGAAGCGGCGACGGGTGACCACCGTGCGAAAACCCGAAAAGGCCGGCCACCGCACGAAGCGGCGACGAAGCGGCGACGGGATCCACACCGTGCGGGAACCTCGAAACGCCAACCACCGCACAGGGCGGCGACGAGCGCCCCCCGTGCAAAACCCAGAAACGCCAGCCAGGGCATACGGCGACGACGAGGCGGCGACGAACGCCCACTGTGCGAAATACAAGGAAAGGCCAGCCAGCGCACGAAGCGGCCACGAGGCAGCAACAGGCGCCCTTCGTGCAAAATGCAAAAACACCAGCCAGCGCACGAGGCGGCAATGAGGCCGCGAAGGGCGCCCTCAGTGCGAGAACCTGGGAGCCCCACCCAAGTGTTTAGCAAGGACAGCAAGAGCCCCTCAGGGATAACACTGTTTGGGAAACTGCCCAGAAGTATGTGTGATGTGCATGGCGGCAAAACGAACAACATATTCTGACTAGACATGAAGAGCCCACGTAAGCAATTTGAGAGCACGAGCCTGCCAGCGTGGACCCCGAAACAGTGAATTGTGCACTCTTTACGTGGAAGCTATGTGGTGCAAGGTATGCGGTGCACTCTGCGAGGTGGTGTAAGTTGTGTGGTACAAGCTATGTGAAGCATTTGTGTGAAGCAGGCTATGTGGAGCGCAAGCTGTATGGCACTAACTATCAGGTGTAACCTCGGTGCGAACTTTGTGTGGTGTGAGCTATGCAAACTGTGGTTCAAGATATGTGGTGTACGCTGCGTGGTGCAAGCCATGTGGGGTAGGTTAAACATTGCAAATACCAGCTGTACGCTATATGGTGTAAGCTATGTGGAGCACACTGTGGTGCAATACATGTGGTGCAAGATATGTGGAACAAGCTATGTGGTGCAAGAAATGTGGAGTAAGCTATGTGGCGCAATACATGTTGTGTAATGTATGTAAATTCAATTATGTATTGCAACCTCCGTCATGCAATCGAAACACCGATCAACGCAAGAAACGCCCTCGAAACGCCCATGAACGCCCACCAGGCAAAAATCCGGGAATCCCAGCCAACACGAGGTCTTGTGGTCACGGGCGCCCACCAGGCGAAGACCCGCAACTTTCAGCCAAATCCTTACTACAGAAGTACCCTACCAGTACCACGACGCGGCGCGACGGAGGACAGGGATAACTTATGCCAGGGGGGGAATTCGTTACTTTTCCCCTTCCCTTGCAGATCGACCTGTGAAATAGCTGGAGGGGAAATTCGGGTGCAGCCAAGTCCACCTCGGTTCAACCAACCCCCTTTTTGCGGGGCAGGGCGCGGTGGGAGCAAAAGTAGGAGTGGCCAGAAGCAAAATGCCCCCCACAATCCCACCCACCCCTGGGCCCAAATGGCTGCACAACTACGTACCTGCCCGCTTGCTAGTCTCATGCGCGCTAACTTTGGGCAGCAACCGAGGGGATCACCACTACTCTGCTGCGGGAGCTAACCCCCTCATCTCACGCAATCCGGCCACGTAACTGCGGCCGAGCTTCGGCCACTCTCGTACTCCACGCAATCCGCCCGCTGCTGCTGCTGCTGCGGATACTCAGATGGCCCATGGATAACAGTTTGGATCACGCCTGGCTCTCAAGTCTGGGGTGTAGGTGTAAATTAATGCCTGCCCAGTCCCTCAATATGCCTACCTGCCCTCACACCTGCCTGCCCGCCCAACGCGTCGAGTCGCTCACACCCAGCCTCCTGGGGGATTTGCTAACACCTCAGGGCACAATCCAATCCGCAAGCGGAGAGGAGGCATGAGAACCGTTTCTGCGTGCAAATACTGCTCGGGGAACTGGAACACTTACCGATCTTCCCCAAACAATGCTTGCGATTAGTGGTTCTCGGATCTTTTGCTCAGCAGCTCGTTTTCTTTGGGGCGTGGGCTCTTCGGCCACCACCGTGTCAATGTTGAGCTACACTGTCAATGCCTCGCTCTCCTGTGGCTTTGCTGTGTTCCTGCTCGCTAAAGCTTGTCACGTGTGCGGCGCTACACTGTCAATGCCGCGCTTTCCTGTGGCTTTGCTGTGTTCCTGCTCGCAACGCACACCGCCAGAGGCGGCGGAGAGCTTGAGAGATCCATCCACAAAAAGTGGGTCGCCTGATGGCCGCCTCGTGCGCTGGGTGTTCTCCGGGGTTTCGTCCCGTGGCCGCTTCGTCGCCGCCTCGGGCCGCCCGTCGCCATACTGTGCGCTTGCACCACGTAGAGTGCGCCGCATGGGTTGCACCACATAGCCTGCACCACATTTCTTGTGCCACATAGCCTGCACTAGATGGCTTGCGCAAGATTGCTTGCACCACGTAGCTTGCACCATGTCGCTTCCACCGTTTAGCGCGCACCATGCATTTGCATCATATACATTACAGCTTATAGCTTGTACCACATAGCTTGCACCTCTGTGCTTCCGCCGCGTGGTTTGCACAACGTTGCTTCCACCACTTAGCGTGCACATCCACAGTGCACAACCTCATTGTTCATGGTCCACGCTGGCGGAAATATGTGGTGCACATCTGTGATGCGCAAGCTACGGGTGCAACCCGTCAAAGGCAAAGCAGGGTTTGCAGTCAGTGTGGTGATACCAATGCGATGAAACCTATGACTTGCAATGTATGGGGTGCATTCAAATCGACCGCAACCTATCATGTAGTGCGAGCTAGGTTTTGCAAGATGTTCGGTGTAACCCATGTGGCGTAATCTATGCGTTGCAAGCTGCGCGCAGAATCGCCAGCCAGCGCACGGGGCGGCGACTAGGCGGCGAAAGGCACCCACCGTGGGAAAACCCATGATCGCCTGCGAGCGCACGAGGCGGCGACGAGGCGGCGACGAGCGTCCACTGTGCGAAAGCCGTGGCCACCCTGTCAGCGCACGGCGGCGACGAGGTGGCGACGGGTGCCCGCCGTTCGAAAACCTGGGGACCCACCCAGTCTGCTTAGGCAGAGAAAGCAAGACCCCCTTGGTGCAAGCATTGTTTTGGGGAATGAGAACCTCTCAGGCAGGCCACAGTGAAAGTATCCTTATCCTGAGAAGGGAACGGGAGGGGGGACTGGCTCAGGGGGGGAACCATCAACCTGGAATCGGCGATACCTCGCCGATAGATAGGCGATAGACTCTAGACGGCGAGCCCGCACGCTCCTGGGCGGGGTGGGCTATAAGGCCCCTATCGGCGATGAGTGGGCGCTTGGGTGTGGATGCCCCCCCCTCACAGAGCCTATTCCCCACCCCCTGACGTTTCCCATGGGGTGTGTGTGTGGCTCCCTCGCGCGTGGCCGCGGCGTGCCGAGTCCTCGTTCTGGCCCTCCCTCCTTCCAGCGGGGCGTGGTCGGTCGGCAAGCACTTAGGGCCAGAGGGGCCCAGGGTCAACCACGCAGAGCCCGGCTTCGATGGTGCCCAACCATGTGGGGACCCTGGACCCGCGCAGCGTTGCCCTGGACCCCGCGCAGCTGCACGCAGCGCCCCCAACGCTGCCTCCGATGCTCCCGTGGTTTTGGCTGCCCCGATCCTCCGGCGCCTGGAGGGGCTCCTGCGCCGCGACGGGCTCCTGCGCCGCGACGGGCTGCGGCTGTCCGAGCGCCCGCCGCCGCCGCCGTCGCCACGGAGCTTGTCCTGCACCATCTCGTTGACCAGCCTCTCCGCGTGCATCCTTTGGCGGCCCGCACAGAAGGGGGGTATGGGGGAGGGGGGGAGGCTTCTCAGAAAGAGGCTGCTTCTGAGAGGGCGTCGGCCCTACATCTACAGACAAGGCCCGCGCCTTCTAAGAAGCAGCCTCCTTCTGAGAAGCCTTCCCCCCTCCCCCATACCCCTCCTTTGCGCATGGCCGGCATCCTCCCGCCCTCCCCCATCTTCGTGCCCTCGTTCACGGAGAAGATGAGGAGCCGCTCCTCCCCGCGTCTGTCCAGGGCCATGAACATGTACGTCCCCGTCTCCGCCTCGACACGGCGCAGCTCGCTCCCGCGGTTGCCGGTCACCCAGCCCTTGCAGTTCTCGGGGATGTGCATCTCGGTGCAGTCGTCGCGGCCAGCGACGTCGGGGACGGTGACGGTGCCACGGCGCTGAGCAAGGAGCCACTCGATGAACTCCTTGACGCGCTTTCGCTCCTTCTTCGTGCCCGCCATGAAGCACACGTGGCCCACATACTGCAGGATGCATCCCGCAGCGAGCGCCAACTTCTTGCGCGTTGTGCCCTGCTTGCCGAGCGCGTAGCTGAGCTCGTCGTCCTTGAAGACCATGCGGTCGGTGGCGAAGCCCCTCTCGTCCGAGAACTTGTCACGCACCCCACGCGTGAAATGCCCTGGGGCCTTCTCCTCCACAGAGCTCATGACCTTCAGCTCGGCACCACGGCGGGCACGAGTTTCACCGAAGATGGCCAGTTGCTCGCCAGAAGGACCGTCACGGCCTTTGCCCTTCATCCCAGGCTTCGTCATGAAGAACATCAGTACGCCCCACTCTTCCTCCATGCCACCGAGAGCTGCGCGGCGGCTTCCTGTGACGTAGCCCACGCAATCGCTCGGCACGTCGAGGACGGTGCAATCAGAACGGTCTTCCCATCCGTCCACGTAAACGGGCCCCTCGAGCTGCTCGAAGAGCCACTTCATGTACTCCTTCGCCCGCTTGCGCACGACCTTTGTGCCGGAGAACAGGGCCGTCTGTCCCACGTACTGCACGATCGAGCCCGACGAGCGCTCGAGCTTCTTGCGCGTGCCACCCTGCTTGCCGAGCGCGTAGGAGAGCTCGTCGTCCTGGAAGGTCATGGTGTCGGTGCCCCAGGTGCCAGTGTCGTCCTTGCCACGGTCACGATCGATGACATCGTTCTTGATGCTGGCAAAATACCCAGGCACCTTCGTTTCCACAGCGCTGAGTACGAGCAGCTCCGCACCGCGCCTGCCACGGATGGAGCCGAAGATGGCCAACTTCTCGTATTGCTTGTTCCTGCCCCCGCGGCTGCCGTCCACCTCGCAGAAGAACATGAGGGTGCACCACTGCTCCTCGATGCTGCGGAGAAAGTTGCCCGCCCTGCCAGTCACGAAGCCCACGGCCTCTTGGGGGACCTGCAACATGGTAAGGTCGCCGTCATCATAGTCGTCGTGCACTACCACTGGGCCCGTGCGCTGCGCCATCACGCCCTCCGCGTACTTTTTCGCTCGGCGCCGCTGCATCTTTGAGCCGCGGAGCTCGAGAATCAGATCGCGCTCGAAAAGCTCGATCTCGCACTCGGACACCCGGGCGACCTTCTCCTTCGTCTTGCCGCCCTTGCCGAGAATGAATGCGGCGTCGTCGTCTGTGATCTTCAGGGTGTCCACGCCGTAGTCGTCCGGCTTCCCCTTCCTGTTGTCGCGGTCGGCCGACCTGCTGCGGCTGCGGCTGCGGCTGCCGCTGCGGCTGCGGCTTGCCTTACGGCTGCCCCTGCCCCTGCTCCTGCTGCGGTCGCCCGACCTGCTGCGACTGCGGCTGCGAGGCATCGTCGGCTGGAGGTCCTTCGGTCAGGCCACCTGTCTTGCCGAAGGAGCGGGGTCACGTGCACAAGCCACCTCTGCGCACGCGCGGCGGGAGACGCCCCAGTTCCCCAGCGGAACCCTCGAGCCAAATAGGCTGCAAAGCGAAGACATTAATAAGAAGGAGACAAGAGAGGAAGAGCAGGAGGAGGAAAGAGGACCTCAGTAAACCCAGGATGCATAAACAATGCTGCAATACATCCTCTCGTCCCAAATACCCTCCTCATGGGCCCCTATAGATCTTCCTTTTCACTACATTAAACGTCTTCTTGAAAGATGAACAATCGATGGGCGTGTCATTCATGCGAGAGTGCTAAGGTGAAAAGGACAAGGAATTGCGTTGCGTCTTTCTCATGGGTGATGAAGAATGCGGAAGGTATGATCATAAAGTTCAGCCAGGTGTTCAGTGAAAGCCAGGTTTGGGAAAGGAATCGCCCTCCATCTGTGTAAATGCGGCACAAGATTATACGCCTCGGCATTGAAATTGCGGAAGTCTCAGGGGAGAAAGCCATGTAGAAAATGAACCGCCCTCCATCCCCGCAGCTATTCTATATTTTGAAGCTTCTAGTCTTGAATGCGAATGTCTCAAGCGACAGCCCCATCCTGGAAAGAAGCAGTCCGCCATTTTATAACTAGAACCACGCGCGCGCGCTTCGGTTCTAGTGCAGTTTATGGCGATGTGATGGGGTCGTCAGGGGGAGTGATTGGGCAATCCTGGGGGGTGAACTTGCAGTCAGAGAAGGGTTTGGGCCGTCTCGGGTATGGGATGTCGCAGGGCTTCCTTGGACTGGCTTTGGGGCTGTTTTGGCGCTGTCTTTGAAGGGGCAATTGTCTTTAGCCCCACCGGCGCCGTCCAGAGTTGCCACATCGTTGTCACGACACGCAGGTCTTGGCTTGCGGATTCGTCGGGGAGATCGCTGAGTAGCCTCGGGGCGTTGACTGGCTGTCTGATGAAATGTCGAGGAGGCCGTATGTTGCTGGTCTTGTGATGTCGTCGCAAGTTCTGGGACTGGCTTTGGCGCTGGTCAGGGAAAGTGGGATCTGCCGAATATGTGTGTAACATTTTCTTGTAATTTGTTCTACGATGTACTTTCGCTGGGTAAGCTCGCGGGGAGGAGTGGTGACGAGTTGAGTACGGGGAAGACTGCGGAGAGGTGGGGAAGAGCATGAAGAAGTGAAAATGGGATGGATGTAGAGAAGTGCGATTGGGTGGAAAGGAGCGCAGAAGAGAGGAGCGGATTGGAGTGGTGTGGAGAGTGGAGTTGACTGAAGCTAGGTGAAAAGGATTCGGGAGGAGTGGGGAAAAATGGAAAAGAGTGTGTAAGAGTGGAAAGACGGGAGGACTGGGGAGCGAAATAGAGTCGAAAAGAGTGCAAAGGAATGCGGAGGTGTGGGGTGGAGAGGAATGGGAAGGAATGAGCAGGGGTGGCGAGGGGCGGGAAAGAGTTGGGAGGAATGGAGTGGAGTGGGTAGATGAATAGGGAGGAGTGGAGTGGAGTGGAGTGGGAAAGATGGACGTGAAGTTGGCTGGAATGGGGTGGGCAAGAGTGGGGAGAAAAATGAGGGGTGCAGTGAAACAGAACGCACGCGCTATTACACCATTGCGGACCACACGCAGGGGTAACGAACAATGACTGAGGATGAGGAGAAGCATCTCTTGGTATCAGAATGCACGCGCTGTCACGCTGGCTGGCCGAGAACGTGCGGGAAGAGTGAGGGAGGGGAAACAACTGCCTTGAAATAGGATGCACGCGCTGTCACACTGGCTGGCGGAGCACGTGCAGAAGGAAACAGGAATGCCAGAGTGCAGAGAGCAAGCTGCCTTGAAACAGAACGCACGCGCTGACACGCTGGGTGGCGGAGCACTTGCAAGAAGAATGGGGAAGCACAGCCCTGGGCCACCAGATGTCCGATCGCCACCTCGCTTCGGGCCTCTGGCAAGGAGTCCCCAGAGGCGGAAGACGGTTGCAAAGTTCCTCGCTGTGGGCCTTGGTCAGTGTCTGGAGGGCCTCTGGGGGTTCCTGGCACCTTGGGCGGGCTTGGCGCTCTCTTGGGCCGTCTCGGTGTCTCTTGGCCCCTTCCGCACGCTCTCGTGGGCCGTTTCGGAGCCCTCCTGGGGAGTGTCTGGACCGTCTTCGGGCTTTCTACCGACGCTGTGATGGCATGCCACCCGTGTTGGGGCAGCTTGGGGCCATCTTTAGAAGAAGAAGAATAAGAAAACCACATAAACATAAACTTTTGGCTCTCCTCGCGGATGTCTTGCATTCGCGCTGGACCCCCCTCCCTGGCGCGCGGAGCGCGCCAGGGGGCCCAGGCGCGGATCCAAGAAATCCGCGCGGAGCGCCAAAAGTTTATGTTTATTTGGTTTTTTCTTCTTCGAATCTTGGACATCTTGGAGCCTTCGCGGGGCGTCTTCGGGGCCTCTTTGGCCGTCTTGAGGCAATCGTCGGGCGTCGTCGACGCTGCTGGGCCGCTCTCGTCGTTCTTGCGTGCCCTCCAAACCTGCTGTGAGCCGCCGGAGGCTAACACATAAATAACGCACAAGAAACGATACATAACGCATGCAAGCCTGAGGAACGACCTAGCCTCTTTCGAAAATTAAGTGCTCCTTATTCAAGCCGCTCGCTGTACTCCTGCAAGCTTTTAGGACGAATGTGCGCGTCGCCAAGGCGAGATCCTCATACTGCAAAGGAGCCGACCTCCATCCTTGTACCTGTTGCGTGCTTTTGCGTTGAGTGTGCGCGGCGCTAAGGCGGGGGTCGCATTTTGAAAATGAACTTGGCTCCATCGCTGAAGCAGCTGCAAACTTTTTAAACAAAAATGCGTGGCGCGAAAGAGATGGCCGCATTTCGAAAACGACTGGTCCTCAATCCTTGAAACTGTTGCGAAAGCGAGAGCCGCATATTGAAATCGACCGGCCTTAAATCCTTGAAGCGGCTGCGACATCTTGCAGCGAATGTGCGCCCGCGCCCGAAGCAGAATCCTTTAGGTAGGCGACTTCAGGGTAGGCCTTCCCCCTGTGGCTTGCCACAAGCTGGCTGCACCACGACCGCCGCAAGGTGTCAGCTGCATCCAATGAGTGGTCGCCGTCTCACGAGTGGAACCCAAAGGGTCAGCCGCAACTGGTCGAACCTTCAAACATGTAATGTGGTCCACCGCGTGTGGGCTGTTCATGATCTCACACATGGGGAATTTCCAAGCGCATTGGCCGGAACATGCAGGCGCGTTGGCCGGAACATGGCCAACGCGCTGAAGCTTAAATCCCTAGCGACCAAAATGCTGGTCGACATCACTACCGAGACGGAGCTGGACCACAACATGGCGACAACTGCAATGATCTCGATGTGGAGCTGGGACACATAATGGCGACACTTGCAACGCTCTCTGGATGTGCTGCGTGGGCGAAGTTGGCGAAAGGAGGGCTCCACCAAGTCTTCTGCATGGCGTTCGGCCGCGACTCGCCGCAAATCGTTCAGTCGGCTGAAACAGGAGTGCCCTAGTCGAAAGCTCAAGTGCCGATCAGCGTTGAGTCCGAATTGAGATGGCAGGAATGGAGGAGAGGCGGAGAGGTGTGCGGTGCTGCCGAGTGGAAGCAAGAGCCCTGGTCCTGGTGCTGCTGCTCCTCCACCCCTCCACCTCCCGTTCCTCTTCGTGCCACGCCAAGGTGCACATAGCGGATGGGAGAGAGCTCACCTGCTCGCGCGGAACTCCCCAGTCTGGGCCACGGCCCTCTCTGGCTACGGCACCGCTTCTCCTCCTCCCTCCCCCCTCCTCCCCTCCTGCGCTTGGAGAGAGAGAGAGAGAGAGAGAGAGAGAGAGAGAAAAAAAGAGAGAGAGAGAGAGAGGCACTCAGCTGTGCGGGGGCGGCGCCGAAAACGAGCGCCAGTGCGATTACTGTGCGTTGCCTGGCTACCCTTGTTATAGCCAAACAAACTCCAAGCAGGTCTGACGGCTTTTCCGCAGAACGTCAGCGCCAACCCTGAGTCTGCTCGACAGAGAACCATTGGGCCACCTTGAGATCCACACCGCAAGGCCCCGCTGAGCCGACACGCCACCAATGCAACCCAACCCAAGACTTGGGGAAAGCCAGCGGGGCAACACCCGGCCTGACAATGGAACTGTAGCACACGTTGCTCCACCAGCGGACCCCCCTGCCGTGCAGGGCAAGCTGCCCGACAAACTTCAAAAAAACTGTTTTGTGTCTGCCTTGTCCGGCAGGGTAACCACTCTCGATTTTCAGTTCCCGAGTTTTGCCTGGACGTAGGTGTTCGAAGGCGAGACGTCGAGAGAGGAGGCCAGCGCGAGCCAACCTACGGACGCCCAAAACGACGTCGCGAGAAGATCGCGTGCAGGGGGTGGGGGCGAGAGCTCCCGACCCAGTCTGTCATGGTCGGGCGCTTGCGGAGGTTCCAGAGGGAGGGGACCTGGCGTCCGCCTCCAATTAGCCGACGCTGGGTGCCGCGCGCTGCGTCCACGCCCTCGCGCCGGTCAGCGACTCCCAGCTCGAGACCCGCGGCGAGCCCCTCCTCCTCGGGCCGTGGGAGATCACCGGCCCTCTCGCGGGCGAGACCGCGCCGCACGAGCTGCTCTGCCGGAGGACCTCCGCGAGCGCCGTCTGGTTCACGCGGCCCAGGAGCTGCCCCCTGGCCAGGCTGCCCGCCCTGCCCGCCCTCGCTCTCTTCTGGCTGAGCTTGTAGGGCTCGCGCTCCATGATGCCGACTAGGTAGACGGGCTTCTCGTCCAGGGTCTCGAGGCGAGAATGGAAGACGTGCACCTCGACGGGGATGTTCATCATGTCGTCCAAGTAAACGTCGACTGACCGCAGCTGCAGGCCGTCCACGTTGTCCGCGTCTGGCAGTGTGCTGCCATTCTCGTTGTGTGAGCTGCTGAAGCTCTTGATGAAGTCCACGTACTTGTCTCGATCACCCAAATTCACCATATCCAGGAAGGATCGTCCAGATGACGCGCGCCGGCTGAGAAGAGTGGTCAGCGAGGGCGAGTCTTCCAGAATGTCCAGGTCTGCCGATAAGCGCACAACAGCATCACAGAAGCAGCTGAGCACACTGCACGATATGTCCTCTGCCAGAGTCACCATGCCCCGCGTTTTCTCTAGTGCACTCTCTTCAGTCCGACGCCGCGTCACAAACGTCTCAAGAAGGAGGTGAGAGCAAGCCAACGCCGAAAGCAGGAACGGAAATTCATGTGCAGCATTGCCTGCGAATCTGCAGATTACGATCGATATGTGAACCAAGACGCAAGCATAGTATGGGGTGGAATAAGTCAGACGTGAACCACAACAAGGCCCGACGAACAATAATGTCAAGCGCCCAAAAAGGTCTTCGTCGGCACAAGCGACGGCCGAAAGGTGACCAACCGTGCGAGCTGTATGCTGGAAAGCGTCGCTCAAAAAGTGCATCTTCTTGATGTCAGCGTATGCCTTCCTTAGCCGTCCTCAAGGTCCACCAGACGAAAACGGCGCAGCCCAGGAGCATGGAAAACATCAGAAGACACGGCACGAGAAAGTGCCTCCGCTGCGGCATGAAGAGCTGCGCTCCCATCATGACCGTGGGACAGAGCAGCCCCCTCGTCGGCGGCGCGCCAGGGAGGTGCCGCGATGGGGGGGCAGCACGAAGCACGAAACACGAAGTTTGACGCTGTGGGCCACGAGGGCCCGGCAAGGTGGCACCCGAACGCCAAAAAACAGTCTGGGAATGGACACCATGACAACATCGTGTGGTACACTAATAGCAAACAGACCGCCTGCCGAACACGAAGCCTTCCAGGAAGCCTTCCCAGAAGGCGCAAGCTCCCTCTCAGAAGCCTCCCCGCCTTCTCAGAGTGCCCCCCCTCCCTTCCGTGGCTCGGCGGCGACGTATTCGTCTGGGAGTCTCGTCGAAGATACAGATCATCGGCGCCCCTGCCTGGATACATGTATTGCTCCCCGCTGGGCTATTCGCCCCTATCATCTCCTCAGGCCCCCCCCCCCTCCTTGGCGCCCCCTCCCCCCCTGGCGCCCGCCGCCCACCTCAGCTCCCTGCGAAGCGTCTCGCGCATGAGGCCGATCTCCACGGCCCTCGGGCGCTTCACGCCAACTCCGCACGGGCTCTTCGTCTCCGCGCCCAGGGCCGCCATGCCTTCCAGCCGCAGCGGCAGCGACGAGGGAAATCTTCGAGCCTGGCGCGGGGGCGTCGCTGAGGCTCGAGCCCCAACGACCAGTGATGGGCGAGGCTTCGGCGCTGCCATTCGTGCGGGGGGAGGAGAAGGGAGAGGGACAGGGAACGAGTGGGGGGTGGGAGACACGGGGGATGGGCGAGGGCGCAGCGCGGAGCAGGAGCGGAAAAGGCAACTAGGGGGAGAGGAGGGAAGACTGTAATGGAGACAGAGAGAGGAGGAACGGGAAGGGGAATCCCACCAGCCCTCTGGGCGTAGGTGGTCTATATAGCTTTCTCTTCCAATTCCCTTCTTCCCCTTCGGGGAGGGTTTACCACTGTTCCCTATTAAGATACACCCCCTCCCCCAGGAGACCAGCAGCCAACCAGGAACAATGAGGACACCATGCTCACCCCGCCCACCATCCCTGCCAATAAACAATACAAAACGCGATGCGCCTCCACACTTGGGGCATGCGCGGCCAATCCGATGCGGCCACCCCACCACCTCTGTCAACAAACAATACAACATACACTTTGGGGCAAAATCTTGAGTCATGTTCGTGAGGCCCGCGAACACTCCGTATTGTTTTGACAGGGGCGGCGGGGGTGTCAACATATTTCCTGCTGTGCACAAGTCTACCACCCCTGACAACAGCGATACAGCATACACCTCGCGGCTAAATCTGGATCATGCGCGGCCAAACCGCGATCATTGTCAAATGGTTTCTGACAGGGACGGTGAGGGTGGTGGCGTATGGCCTGCTGAGCGCAGGCCCACCCGACACAATGATGGGCATTGGTTTTCGACAAGGATGGTGGGGGCTGCCACGTTCCCCGATGAGTGCTGTCACGTGCGCAGGCACACCTGACACACTCTGCCCCGAACGTGGCGCGGCTGGAGTATGCGGCGCACCTGGCGCACGCGGAGCACGTGGTGCATCTGGTGCACCAGGCGTGCCTGGCACGCTCGGGCCCCAGGGGTGCCTGGCGAGAGGGCGGGATGGAGGAGCGGGTGTGAGTGAGCTAAACGACTTGCTATCTAGGAGGGTGTTCTTACTCACTGTTCCCTATTAAGATACACCCCCTCCCCCAGGCGACCAGCAGCCAACCAGGAACAAGGAGGACACTATGCTCACCGCCCCCATCATCCCTGTCAAAAACAATACAACACGCACTATGCCTCCACACTTGGAGCATGCGCGGCACACCCGATGCGGCCCCCCCACCATCCCTGTCAAAAAGCAATACACAAAGTACACTTTGGGGAAAAGTCTTAAGCCATTGGACAGCGAGCACTTTGAAGCGTTTTTGACAGGGACGGCGGGGATGTCAGCATATTTCCTGCTGTGTGCAAGGCTACCATCCCTAACAAAAAACGATGCAACATGCACCTCGCGGCAAAATCTGGATCATGCGCGGCCAAACCGCGATCATTGTCAAATGGTTTCTGACAGGGACGGTGAGGGTGGTGGCGTATGGCCTACTTGTGCGCAGGCCCACCCGACACAATGATGGGCATTGGTTTTCGACAAGGGTGGTGGGGGCTGCCACGTTCCCCGATGTGTGCTGTCACGTGCGCAGGCGCACCTGACACACTCTGCACGTGCGCCGAACGTGGCGCACCTGGCGCGGCTGGAGTATGCGGCACACCTGGCGCGCGTGTAGTACGTGACGCAGTTGGCGCACCAGGCGTGCCTGCCGTTGAGCATATGTTGGGAGGGCGGGTGGCAATGATCTAAGCAGCTTGCCATCTAAGAAGGTGTTCTTAACCACTGTTCCCGATTCGTATTCTATTAATCTACACCCCCTCCCCCAGGCGACCGGCAGCCAACCAGGAACAATGAGGACACCATGAGGCCCCCCCAACCACCCCTGTCAACAAAAACAATACAAAGTACACTTCGGGGCAAAATCTTGAATCATTTTCGTGAGGCCCGCGAGCACTTGGTATTGTTTTTGGACAGGGACGGCGGGGATGTCAGCAGATTTCCTGCTGCGCGCAGGGCTACCATCCCTGACAAACAACGGTACAACATGCACCTCGCGGCTAAATCTGGATGGTGCGCGGCCACCCCGCGATCACTGTCAAGTGGTGGCGTATGGCCTACTGTGCACAGGCCCACCAGGCACAATGGTGGGCATTAGTTTTCGGCAAGGACGGTGGGAACCACCATGCTTCCCGATGTGTGCTGTCACGTGCGCAGGCGCACCTGACACACTCTGCACGTGCCCCGAACGTGGCGCACCTGGCGCGGCTGGCGTATGCGGCGCACCTGGCGCACGCGGAGCACGTGGCGCATCTGGCACACCAGACGTGCCTGGCACGCTCGGGCCCCAGGGGTGCCTGGCGCGCGTGGCGCGCCTCGCCCCAGCGTCGCGCACATGGGGTCGGTTGTGGTTCCCACTAGGTGTCCATCCGAAGACGACCGCTGAACATGCTCAGGCTCGGGTGTTGGTTATGTGTTGTGAGGGCGGGTGGTCAAGTCAGCGAAGATGAGTAGGGGGGCAAAGAGTGCGTGTGGGTGCATCAGGTCCATATTCAAGAGGAACCCCTCGATGGGGTTGCATCATAACATCAAGCTGTTTGTCATCATGCCAACCACCTGCTCCTCTTTTGAACTCACATAACCACTTAAGTTGTATTTGGCCATGTCGGCATACTTCCACAGTCCAGTCCAGGTTGATCCTATGAGTTCGGTGGAGGTGTCGGTGGGTTGCGGTGCGGCCCTTCTGTATTCTTTGGATGACATTGTCTTCTGCGATGATCTATTGTACCCGGGTTGTCCTAGGCGAATCGGGGCCTCAACGGGCGCATGAAGCAAAGGACCCTGGTGCGAAATCGTCGGAAAACGGAGTGCAGGAGGAGGCCCAGGCGAAGGGGGCGGGGCCCCAGAGGAGCCCCTGCTCTTCGGTTGGGGGATTCGAGTTTTGCGGGCTGGCAAAGCCTTAGTGATGTGTGGTATCCATTGGAGACAACCACTACACGGAGAAAACAATTAAAGCAAGTGGATTGCGAACCTTTCTGCGTGGCTTCGACCTCGTGTTTCCATGACGTCGTGGTAATTTATCCACGCGCAAAACTGTGTCCACAGCAACGATCTCGGATTCTGTAGAAGAGCGTGAAGCCACCGTCTGTTTCTTGCACACAGCGGTGGGAAGAACGTGTTACGGCGGACTAGGGCGGCGAAGATGCCGGTAGGTGTCGACGAAGTAACGCAGTCGGCGTGCGATGCGTGCGTGCAGAGCAATATGGACAGCTTGTCCACATTGTCTCCGACAGAGCCATGTAAGCAATGACCTCGTGCATGATTCAGGTAGCACGCGAGTCAGTGGAGACGTTTGTCATAAAGAGTGTTCCATTCTGTGATTTCACGGGCAAGGGTGCAGATCAGGTGCGGGAGGTCGAACTGGCATCTTCGTGCCGGGTGAAATTACTTCACAAAGACGCCCGCCGCCTCAAGACCAAAGACGCCACGGACATCAAAGTCGGAGTTGCGGAACATTGTATCCTCGATGCCTGGTGCGTCGGCAAGTGGCAAGTCCGTGGGCCGGGATTTTGGGTTGGTCGAACGTGAAACGGCGGCTTCCAGGTAGCGTTGTACATGCTGGTCGCTAAAACCAGGCATGTCGTGTCGGACGCCGCGTCTGTCTTTTGTCTCCTTGTCAGGAGCAATCTACGCGGTAATTGACCAAGACGCAAGTAGTGGTCGAACTGAGTCGGTGAATCAATCTTGATTCCGCTTTTGCGAATAAGGTCCCGTCCACTGGTCGGGCTCCGTGTAGGTCCGGCCATTTTGGAGTCGTCGGCGTAGACAGAAGACGTCAATCTCAAGTCGGGGGGCGTCCATGCGCATTCCCCAGCCCTGCGTAAGGGCGAATCCGACTGACCCTGAACAATTACGACAGTGCCGTTCCCAGAATACCCCAGCCAAGTGATTTCCGTAGAGTGCCAGTCGTAGGCGACAGGCTGGTTGTTGTACCTGGCCCAAGATGCTGGGCGAGGGATGGGTTGTAATGAGATCCGTGTCCACAGGGTCGATTCGGCCATCTGTGCTTGGGTGCGCGCTGCTGGCGCGTCATTTTTTTCACCATCGTTGCCAGATGGCAAGTCAGTGCCGTCGCAAAGTTTGGAGGCCTCAAAGTGCGAGGCACTAGAGGCACAATCAGCAAAGGCAACTGCCCAAACTGGTCTCGCATTGTATGTTCACACCCTGTACAGCTACGCGGCTTTTGAAATCGTGCTGCTCGCGAGGCAACTCGGGGTGTTTGACGGAAGATAGCTCGTGTAGTTACCCAGAGTGAACAGTAACGCCGTAGTGTGCAGCTTGCATCTTGGCACCCTCCTTTCCCGCGACGGCCCCTTCTGTCCATGCAGTCAGTCGTCGCAATCGTTCGCGCTCAGCTTGCAGCGCCTGTTGAGCATGAGGCTTGCCCGCGGCCTCTCGTTTGGCGAGATTGCGCGTGGCGAAGACATGATCCCAGTCCAGATTTTGTCTCGGCGTGGTTGTGGTGGTGTGGATGAGGGCAGGGCTGCCATTGCAAAGATGCATCCCCGCATTGGGTGCGTCCTGCAGAACTTTATTTCCCGGATTCTCAGAGGAGCCGCATCGGTAGCCAAATGACGTCGACGAACATCGCGCGCTTAAGCAATACCCTTGTGATAAGTCTTCTCTACCTTTGTCGTTTCCGAGACGTGTCGGTCCGAGCTTCGGGGGTGACATGGTCAGGGCGGTCGGTCCTCTGCGTCTTGGTCTCGCGGCTCATGGTGGTGACGCGGTCGTCGGACGTCATCTCTGGGATCTCGGTGAAACGTATTTCTCCAGTCCAAGGCTCGCTAGAGGCCTGGCAATCATTAGCATTTGCTCCATCCCACGCGTCCGGAAGTCTGATTCCCCCCTGAAGAGAAAACGTTGTGTGTGCAAGACGTGACGCGTTAAGTTGGTTGGCGGCTGCGGGTAAGCTGTTGGTCTCGTCGGTAGGGGTGAAAAGCTGAGTGCGGGGCCTGCGAGTAATGCGAGGGCAGTATGCTCCGCGCTGTTCCCAAGAGTCCGGT